ACTGAGCTGTGAACCTTTTCTCTTCAGTTGCAGTTCAGACATCAGCAATTAGTAAATATAGACAGTTGTAAGCATGTCTTTTAATCACATATCAATAGAGACTATTACGTTAGAAAACTGTTAGTATATTAAAAAAAAAAACCCTCTCATATAGGTGTATTATATAACTCTAATAGAGTTATATAGGTCTATTATTTAACTCTAATAGAACTATTAGTTCGCTTATGAGGATAAAAAGTAGGATTTCCATAGACCATAAATCCTTAGAAAATTAAATCTTAAGATGTTCTGATTCCTTAAGTAAATCCAGCTGATCCCCTCAGACACACAGGAACTAAATGTTAGTTTTGAGCTAACGTTACTTGAACATAATGTTCAGACTAAGCATTTTCCCTCATATGTCACAATCAAAAAATGCATATAACTATTATGCTTTTAGTGAATCTCCTACTGAATACCTAAAAAGCTTTTCAACCAGAGGTAAGCTCTCTACCCCCAATGGCTGCCGATAGCCCAGTTGATCTAGACGCTTCCTGAGATTAATGAACTTCCGCTCTGCCGCTGTGGTCATTGTAAACACTCCTCAAACTTGCTTTCTTGGACTCAAGAAAAATAGGTCACCTGCAAAAGATTGTCTGTTACAGCATTTGTCCTTTAAAATGGCAGTAGCATAGAAAACAATAATGGAAAATTGTTTTTTTTTTTGTGTAGGAAATATATAAGCATGTTCTTAAAAATTTAGGTAAATCAAAACAACTAAAACTTTTCGAAATTTTTTACACATTTCTTTCCAAAGATATACTTACCTTGAAAATTAACTGTCTAAGCATTTGGTAACATCTTATACTATGAATACAAAATTCTCTTTCCAGTCTGTAAGAACTGAATTCTGAAATGATTTTACGATGGGAAAATAATAAAATCAGTGGTTTCTGATTCCTTGAATCACAGTCAACTTGGTATCTTCCACAAACCAAATTGATGGATCGTTTTCCAAAATCCCCCGTACTTTTTCCTTTTGTATATAAACCTTATTTATTAAGCCAACCTTTTGTAAAAATATGTTAAAATGTAAAATTTTGAAGACAGATTCACATTTTGAACTTGACTTTTCTTCTACATGGCAAAGCAGGAAAGAAAAGACCCGCAGTGTGGTACAGTCCTATCCGCAGTTTCCTGAAAAAATCAGTTCAAGGATCAGTCTGAGGGTTTTTTTCTTTTGTTTGATTATTTATTATTAACGTGATCTAAAAGGGTTCAGATCACAACTACTGTACCTGAATTCAGAGGATCATTTTATTTTTGCCAGATATATTTCAGGGAGGAAGCATTTTCACATCATTATATCTTTTTGGATTCAGTGGTACAATGAGAAATGAAATAGAATACTAAATCTGATGTTTCTCAGATACGTGAAAATATATCTTCTCAACAGTTAGTAATATTTTAGAAAATTAATTATTTCTGTAAAACATTTCCCTCGTGTTTCTTCAGGAGTTACAGTATTAACCTGCTCTTTACGCAGAAAACCTCAGTAGCCAAACTACTAACCAGAGGAAGCACCATTTACATCTCATATATAGGTGAAAGACTATAAATTGTTATTTAAACCATGCTGTTTCACAATCCCCCATATTTTAAAACAGAATGAGAAAAAAATTATCCAAGTATTTAAAATAAAATTATTTATTAACAATAAAGTTACAAAACAAAAAAGTTTCTCTCACGTCTGAGGCTGGAAAGGAAGATTTCATCTAATTGTATCAAAACAATACATTGGTCTAGCAGCAAGACTATAGTTGCCAGGCACCGCTCAACGGATGAGAGAAAATCACCACTCTCGAGGGCACAACATCTGTTCCAGGGGCTACCAAAATACTCACCTGAAGAGGTTCAAGGTGTTGAGATATTAAGAGGCAACAGCACAGAGAACAATTCCTTATATATTGTACTGGGTTGGCTGAAGGAGGAGGAGGCACATTTCCTTCTGCAAACCAGTAACAGACAATATCAAGTCATTCTTCTAAATTCTCCCCATTCTTCTTTGGCAGCCAAAGAGAAAAGTGGTAAGCAATAATGGGATTTCTGCATTCACATTGAGGATTCTTTATGTTGAATGAAAAAAAGGAGTGATTGTGTTACTGTGTCCAGATCTAATCTCAGGAATCCATCTTATATTACTTACTAGAGAAGTAAGCTAGTAACTCTTGAGCGCATTCTCTCCTTAAGAATCATATCAGTTAAAAAGATGAATTTTTATTATCACATCAAAAAGCATCTAGTAACTTCTCCATTAGGAAAACACGGCTTTCTGGAGATAGAGAGCATATAGAAGAACTGCTGTAGTGATTCAGTAGAAACTAAGATCAGTCTGGCTCAATACCCTGCATCTCTGACGGTGACAACAGTGAAAGTATAAAAATATAAACAAACATGAGGCAAATACTCCTCTTAATTACCTTATTTTTCTATAACCTTTTAGTGTAGGGACTTTGTGAGCTTGAAGTTGCAAATAAATCGTTACGTTAATAGCACCTGACAGCCCTTTCTTCCATTTCTGCTTTTTGAAATATCTGATGGCGATTAATTCCTGATTTTTCTGTACATCCGGAAAAGTATATCCTTTTGTTTTAAACTTGCCAGATGATGAATTCATGGCGTCTCTCTTTTTATATTACTATAAAACATACTAAATATTTGTTCCTTAGTCATGTTCTCAGTTATTTGTGATGGTATCTTTAGCATATCCCTCCTCAGTAATTTATTTTCCAAAATTTCCTTGTAGCTTGTGCAGAAACAGTGCGTATAGCTGATTATGCTTGTCACCCCTTTCTATGTCTTTTCTGAGACTGAGAGTGCGTCTGAGCACCTTGTTTCTGAATTGTGGCTGCACCAAGGATTTAACAGCAGTCAAAGATATTTGCTGTAGCGTTCTCTATTGCCAATGATTCTCAATTTATCTTTTGCCTTTTTGATTGCTCTCAAGCACTGAGTAGATGTTTTCACAGTGATTACGAAATCTCTTTTTCGGAGTGACAACAGCCACCCTAGGGCCCATGATTTGCATGTATCAACACCAACCCTTAACTCCCATTTTATCACTTAGTCCAGTGATACTCTGCAACTTTTTGGACCACTCTTAACAATTCCGTACAATAAGTGAACTCTGCCCCTTCCTGTGTAAGTCATTCTTCAGATCACTTATCAGTGTTAAATAGCACAAAATCTGCTGCACATTCCCTGTGAAACAATACTTTCTCTCCATTCTTTTAATCAGCTACTAATCTATAAAATGATCTTTTCTCCAAATCCAAGAGAGGGACATTTACTTAAAGACTTTGGTAAAGAACCTTCTCAAAAGCTTTATGCAAATTCCAGTTTTCTTCATCAATGGAATTATTCTTGCCCAGTTCAGATCAACCCAGAACATCACTGTCGTTAAAGAAATTTAGTAGTCTTTTGAGTCTTTCTGTCATGATCAGGCTGAGTCATGTCAACAAGGCACGTTGAACCTATTAGACTTGTCTCCAAATTTACTGGGATGTGCTCAGACAACTTTGTTTCAATACGTATTTCCCATATGAGATAGGCTACACTAACTACATAAATAGATCATGTCATCCAATATCTACATATTTAATGTACATTACTACTTCTAGGAAGAAAATACAGTTTCCATTTTAGACGAGAAATAGAAAATTACCTAAACAAATGAAAAGTCACTAAATGGTACCTTCAAGTAGGCATGTCCAGATAAAGATTTATCAAGACGTCTAAATCAGTAGATCTTTCAGTTATTCACAGGAGAAATATTTAGAGCAAATAGCCTCATTTTTTTGTTTCTCCTTTGTTCACGAAGGCTGCTTAAGGAGGACAATTCCTATATGTTTCATTTTGTGAGATGCCTGGATGCTTGTGAGCAGCCTTTTGAAGGCCTAGCTTTTTATGACAATATACGTATTTCGCACCTGTGAAGTTCTACGTCACAAATGACACAAGTGGAACATCAACATGGAATTACAGTCTTAAAGAACTGGGTATAGAAGTACATAGTCAAGCTACATAAAATTGTGTGAAAGAAACAGTGTTAGCAGGGAAGGATATTCCTTGTATCAGGCCACCCAATACAGGTGGAAAAAGAAACAGACAAGCTTTAGCACATCCAAGCTCTCCTGTCAATCTGAAAACAACGCATCAAACCTCAAGGTGAATACACGTTAAGGCTGTTCTAGATGTAATGCTTGTGTTATCGATTAGCAAATGTAATAATAAAAAGGACAACAAAGATGGATCTTTGCAGTGGAAGAGGTAATACGATCATTAACCCACATGAAAGGAAATTAAGACTACAGGGCTGACAATAGCACACTAGGAAATTACCAAATTAACATACCATGAAATCAGTTTCTTTATTGAGTCCATAACATTAACATCAAAGAGAACTACGAACTAGAGTTTCCAGCGTCATCTCTGGAAAATACCAAATTCATTTTTCATTCATGAGAACTCAGCAGCAGAGCTGGAGGCACTTGTTTTGTGAAAGATGTTCACAAAGCATCTGTTTCTGTCCTAGAATTGTTGTGTAGCTCATTTTGCTATACTGAGGCAGTTTTATTTTCACCCATATAAAAAAAGGCATCTAGTGAACTAAGCATACTATATTCTATTACATTCATGTACAGGATCCACGGATTTGGGAAGGGCAGTTGTTGTAATGACATTTTCAAGGTACACCAAGTAAGTCCGAATTTGTTGTTCTGGCACAATCTGTCTCCAAGTTGATTTGCTCAGAGTTCACTTCCGACAAAGATAATCAGGCACTATGCTTGCTCTGAAGCGTCACCAATTTGCTAACAGAAAAACAACTTTTGTTCTAGGAAAGCAAATTTATTCTTTGAAGAGCCACTAAAAACTGTAAATATATACGTTATAGCACAATCTCCCCAAACTGCAACCTGTATGGAAGACCTTTCAGCAACCACAATCTACACCTACACAATCTACCTACCCTTTGAAATAGGTTTATTTTTCCTTTCCCCATACTCCCGCGCTGCCAGTCTCACTAGGCCCATCGTTAAAAGCATGTTGTCCCAGAGCAAACCGCTATGCAGTAGCTGAGACGTTTCAGTGGGGCCTCGGCAGAGACGCTGCCCCGGGTGGGAAGGGAAGGCAGCAGAGCTCTGAGGAGACGAGGGACCGACGTGCGGACCAGGAGCTCGTGCTGAGCGGCTCTCCCCAGCGTTAGGGGAAGGACACACGCAAGCGGCCCGGCACAGCGCTACACTCCGGGCTGCAACAGCGACCGCTGATGGGGCTATAGAAGCCCAAGGCAGCGGCTGA